CCTTAGCAATAAATGTGAGGAGAAACTCGGGGACTAGTCGAAAAATGACACTACAATGTGTACCGTTTGTAGAATAAAGACAAATCATAAACAGACTTTACTTTTTAAATTACCTTCGATATACACGGCTGGAACAGGAGTTGTCAACCAGAGAGACTTTTCTATGTGAGGCTGTTTCTTGACAGTCAGAATTGGCGGCAGGAATCAAAATACGGTTTCAGCCAGCAACTTCGAAACAAGTCTATTTTGTCGTGAAATTGGCAGATCAGGGTCTCTAGAGCTTTCACATATGTTTTTAAAAATTACTACTTGCACAGAAAATATAAATGTAAGATGCCAGGATAGACGGTACTGGGGGTCGAACTCTTGGTTGTTTCAAAATAACCCCAAGATCGAGCACAAATTTTGAGACAATGACCTAGGCTGGAAAAATTTGTGATTGTTCGAAATCATTGTATTTGTTATTTTAAATGAGTTTCATTGTTGCAGGATATTGGGCATGCCGAACTCTCAACAAGTCACCCTTGATCTCACATCAACCAGCTACAGAGACAATTGTGATCGACTGCGGTACCTGGAGGAGAAGCAGCGAGAACTTTGTGCCCTGAGCCAGAACATTCTGACGGTAAGCGGGATCGACTCGCTCACTTACTCGCTACTTGCTGACAAGCTTGGTCGCTCTTTATTCTCATGCTCGTCAATATAAGCGCTTATTCGCCAACTTGCTCTTTTGCTTACGAGTTTACTCGTCCTGTCACTTGCCTGCTCACAAGATTACTCGCATTTTAGAGCGTATCTTTCTTCTTTTGTTTATTTTATAAGCGTTTGCTGCACACTACACGCAAACATGACATTCCAATCCTCAAAACGTTTAAGGTATTCATTTTTTGTTCATTTATTTTCTGTTCACTCTGCGTAATCATCTCATCACGTTTAGTTGACAGATCACCGTTAAATGTCCTGCTGACCAACCACAAGGAAATTCTAAATTTAGCCCACTTTCCTTTGTTTTGCGGTTCCATGCCTGCATGTGTGCGTGCGCACGTGTGTTTAGTCGGTTTCCTGTGTTTCTCCCTTGCCCCTGACGACTTTGGTGTAACAACTGATGAATTTTTTTTAACTTTGTGCAGACATAATTACGTTGGATGTTTGCATGCATTTGTGTATCTAATTCCCTATCATCATTAGGAACGTGGTGGATGTGAAAACATCTGGAGAGAGTCAACAGAATGACATGGAGGTTTTCACGGAGGTGATGAGTTTGTCTTCTGGCCTGTAACGCCGTGTGAAATTGTGCTTGAACTTGATCATAATTTCGGAGGAATATGCTACCTTCGTCTTTAGCACTGAAGATTGGTGCGATGTTTTCTTCCAGAACATTCTATTCTATCTACCTACAAGTTCACACGGCGTTACAACCCAGAATATTAACATCCAGATTGTTAACGTATGTTCTACACGTTTTATTTGCAAAAGACTTTTAGTGGCATGACAGCCAGTCGAAAATGATGTCAAAGTGTTCTCTTCTATGGCAATAACGAAGTGACCATTGTACGAGTAGCTAAGAACATTTAATTTGGTTTGAAGTTGGAGCATAAATATAGCCTACACACACAAACACACTTGTACGCAATATTTATGCGAATTAAATCTGTACCAGCGGATACTGCACACAAAAAATATACCTCTGAGTTCTGTAATTATTTATGTGTGTTTACAGCAAAATAGGTATAATGAGTTTCTTTCTAAAACAACGTCGTTGAAAAATATGCTTAACATCGCATCTCTAGAAAAGAGAGTGGACTCTCTGAGAATTGTGTCTGGATCATAAAGAGAAATTTTAATTTTTGTGAAACTCTGAAATACGACTGGAGTTTGCTTTAGCTCCAGGCACGTCGTGTTCCTGTAGATATGATAGTCAGTTGTCTGGGCCCCTTGCTATTAACTTGCAGCCCCATTGCGCTCAGTATCTTTAACTTTCATCCCTCCTTAATTTTCCGCTTCGGGAGAGTCCAGCGATCACTCACAAGGATCGTCTTCCTTCCAATCACGCTGTTTCAAATCTTCCAGTGCATTTCTTGTTACTTGTTCAACAACCCTTGTGATTCATATGTATCATAAAGGAAGATAGAGAATTGATTCTCTTATCCTTTGTCTCGGAGAATGATTTCTGTATCCCCATCAACCTGACTGTAGATCAGGGATGGACAATTATTTTTATTCGGGGGCCACATGGAACGAATCAAAGTAACAGCGTATCGGAAAACTAGAGAGAAAAATTCTGTGCTAAGTGAAATTTGTTAAATAGCTAATAATTATTCGTAATAACGTAACACACCTTATAAATATATCAGAATTCATAAAAACAAAATTATTAATAATTAATACGGACACTTATTGACCCGTTCCAGTATTTTATTATTAATAATACTAAGATACAGTGGATTCAGGTTAATTGGGACACATCGGGACTAGAACACTTTGGCCCAATTAAGCGGCTGCCCCGATTAACCGATGGCCAATTAACCGGAATCTACTGTGTATCGAAACTGTAAATTCAATTCTTCCACGTTGTTCCTCCACGGTCCAGGAATTTCTTGCAGGATAAAGAGATGTCCATGAGTTCTGTCGAAAGATGGAACACAGTTTACATTTTCTTACAATTTCCTATTTGAGCAATGCGACATTCCCAAAGACAAGAGTTTCCGTGCTGCAACATGTGATGTTATGTCATATTAAGTTCGGAATCACTGAATGGAACACGTTAACTTCTGGTCTGTGGTGATGGTGTTAATTTGTTGTGTAAAAACAAATATCATAAATTGAAACACTTAGCCGTATTAATTGCTAACAAGGAAATTAGTCTAGAAGTAAAAGTTTATAAAACTATGTAGACATATTTGTTATCTCGTCACCAAACTACACGATAAAATCTTAATGATACAAACATCGCTACTTAATCATTCTAAAATGTGGCATATAGTAATTTAGGGAGATCTCGACATCTGGGAGATCTCGACACTTTTAACAAATTTCACCCTAGCGACAGCTGCACTGTAGTGGCAAAGACTGTAACTGTACAGAAGATAGCCTACCATACTGCGATCAACGTGCAACTTCAAAGGAGTCTGTTTTTGCAAGTCTCAACCTCGTAAGGAACCCTCAAAGACGACCAGGTGAGTTTTACATACCCTAAATAGCACATGCTATAATAATTACATTCCAGATAATGATAATTACACTGGATGCACATGGCATTTATGGATTAATAGTTATTGTGGTGACAACTCGCACTTTCTAAAGGACAGCCATGCTATGTGAACTGACAAAAACTTCAACTGTGACCAGTGGTGACATGTGTATTGTAGTGACATGTGTATTGTAGTCGACATTTTGCTTCTATTTCTTTTTTTTGTTAATTGCACTGTTTCCCTTAAACTTACCTGCTTTATTATTGTAGTACAAATAAAACATATCTCCATGGATAATATATGAAAATTTCTGTTTTTAATTTTCAAAAAATATTCCTGAAGCCTAGAGTTTTTTCTTGAGGTGTCGAGATATCCCTAAATTACCCTACTTGACTGGCTCTGTCTGCTATTCAAGAAAATACTTTGTCAGAATTTAGTTATTGATTTGTATTACACTGTAGAGTGTCTATTGTACTTGCAGAGTTTAGGTATCGGAGCAAAGATGGCCATTGACGAGTGTCAGTACCAGTTCCGTATGAGTCGCTGGAACTGCAGCACATTTGGCAATACGACTACGATCTTCGGAGGAGTCCTGTCTGTCAGTAAGTCAACCATTTTCTTTCATCTTCTCGGTTCTCATGTTTTCCATTTATTTATTCTACAAGTTTCTAATCTCCCTCCATATCCTCATTTTCATGCTTTAACACTTTTATGATCACTACGCAGATCTGCGGTCTCTGTGATGTACGACACAACTTACTAAAATCCTCACGCTCCTAACATGGCTCATATCGAAGAAATAAATATAGCAGCGAAGTTAGACATTTTGTCAATATTTAAAGCTATTGGTTCAAATGAAGATGGCTGTCTTCTGGGTTGTTGCGCCGTGTAGTCTGGTAGAAGTTTACCGACGATTCAGAGGGTCTTGCTGCCTCCATCATCAGGGAGAAGAGCATCATCGCCCTGTTGATGGAGACAGTAAGGACCTCTGAAACGTCGGTAAAATTCTATCAGATTACACGGCGCAACAACCCAGAAGATAGCCGTCTCCATATACTTTTGCCTACACATCTTCTTAGTAATAATCTTATTTACAAAACAAACTATAAAATTGCGATCTTGGGTGTATTTTACACAAGTTTCACCGAAATACGTGTTTTAAATATTTTCTTTTCTCAGTAGTGATTGTTGGTGAAACAGCATAGATTCAAACTCATCAATGGGTGCAATGTATAGACTACGATACGTTTTGAAACATATGGACATTGTGACAACCTCAAATGTCTGTTAAATGATTCGAAAGTTGTGTATGAAAAACAATATTAATGCTGCGGAACTGTACGTGTGTGATCGGCTAGTGTTATTAGATTTTTGAATAAAAATGTGTTTTATAAGTACGTGAGTACAACTTCAGGTTTTCCCAGCGTCCTTGACAGGCAGTTTTGTAGTCTACATATATAAACAAGGGTAAGAATGATTACTGGCGCATTGTTATGCAAATCCTGCCATATTTCACACGTAGCGTAGTTTGTGTCCGTTGGTGTGTACATGTCAGAAAGAATTTGTGGTAAACACTGCAGTTTGTAACAAATGAAGGCAGGAAACTAAAACTGCATGCATCAATAGTTAGTGTGCAAAAAGAAATAAAAATCCCACCCCAACACAAGGATTTGATTGTCGCTCTCAAGTTCTGGACAGTCACACCTTTGCACTGAAACACGCGTTACGTTGTTCGAACATGATGGTAGTACCACAAAGCAGGTCCGTCACGGCAAGACTATGCAACCAGGTTTCCGCGCGTGGCCACCTGCTTATCACGTGACTACCATAATGTTTCTGGTGCTTTAGTATAGGTTTCGTGATAATGGTCTCAGTGGAGACAGACATCCGTGGCTGTGTTGTAGAGAGTCGAGAAGCTGCTTACGTCCATGCAGTGTCAGCAGCTGGGATAGCGTACACAGTGACGCGTGCGTGTTCTCGTGGAGAGCTAAACGAATGCAGCTGTGACAGCAGAGTGCGCAGTCGCAAACCCAAAGGAAAATGGCAGTGGGGCGGTTGTTCCGAAGTAAGTGATTGAGAGATGTTTGAAACTTACTGTCCACGAAATTAATACATAATGAGATCGTATCTGTAAATTTGCCTGCATGTTTTGTTTCAGAAAGTACTTTATGGATTTAGATAGAATTTGGTATTGGGGAATGGTATAGAACGAGTTGAATTTTGGTTCATATCGTACAAATATAACCTCTATGAAACCCCAAAACGCTACTTTTCGTAGAAAAAATATGTAAGGGCATTGAATCTGTCTGATTACATCGAACTCACATGATATATACTTAACGAGTAAATATTTAACGAGATACAATTAAAAATAATTTAGTGCTTCTTTAGCGTGTTTTTGCAACACTAGATTAAAAATAAATGACAATCAAAACAAAATAGATATTTATAAAATAAAACTATAGCGCACTTTCCGTATCTTTTCTTCTTTTGGCAGATTGTTTAAAGCAGAAAATTTATCGAAGTTGTCTTTTCCAACGTTCCAGTTATTAATGACATCATTTAATCAGTATTCGTTTGATTTTATAAATTCTTATTTTGAAATGGAAAACTAAGTTTATTAGCTAAAATTGTAGTTTGTTGTCCCTAACAATGCATATCAACTTCGTGGACTAGGCGTTAATACCAATACTTTGAAGTCGAAGTCGGTATAAACAGTGTTCAAAAAACGCAGAAAATACAATACCTCCCCATCATAAAAATAAACTGGTCAATGTTGTTTTTATGAAAGTAATTCCTGTTTACATTGACGGTGAAAATCATACAAAATAAAGAGTTACTAATTGTTACAGCCGTTGGTACATGTAATTAGTTACCACTCGGCTTTGAAGGGTTAAAAAAGAACAATTTACCTCATTAGCAGAGCGCGTACCTACTTCACGCCGCTTTCAAAACATGAAATGCAATTTGTAAAAATTGAATGTTACCTCTGCTTCTGAGCACCACATCGTGCAGGCGAATAGGGGCCACATAGGCAACACAAAACATTTGTAACACCGCGGGTGGGGATGTTCCCGACACCCGTTGTTTGAGGCAGGGAAGGAGATCCCGATGCACGATAGGAAGTGAAGTAACTTACACAACGCATTATATTTTGATCAAAGTAAGATAAAGTTTAAGTACGAAATTTGGGATATTACATGACGAGGATTTCGTGATGTGTACCAAGAGGCTGTTGTTAGGATAGTGACATTCTATTCTACGATGGGACGAGTAGATAATTAATGCATACAGAATATTGATTAGGCAACCTCTTTGAAAATTGTCACTTGCAAGAACAAGCAGATGAGAAAGGACTCGTAACAATAAGATGAGTGTTAGGGAGACAGGTTATGGAGATGATCGTGAATTGAATTGGATCAGAGTATCTTTATCATCGTACGGTTTTGGTATTAGCAGTACTGAACCTTCAGGTTTCTGATACCAGAACTAGTTCCTAGTGGGTGTTAGCCTCGAAACGAAGGCTGCAGAATTGTATTTTTATGGTGATTCTTATATTTTCAGGACATTCATTTTGGTGAGAAATTTAGCAGAGACTTTGTAGACTCTCACGAGAATCGAGACACTGCTGATGGTCTCATGAATTTACATAATAATGAAGCTGGGAGAAGAGTAAGTATTTCACATGAAAAATTAGTAGTAGTTTGTCGAGGTGAGACGTAGGCTACATTGTCCGACCATGTGTGTGGTGTTCCTTAGTAACTTTTGGGCCAATTGATAGAATTCCGTGAATATTGACATGAAAATGACAGCAATACAGGACACCCTCGTACCTTTATAATTTTCAGTTAGCTATCATCAGTAGTAGCAACATGCGAGTTGTGGGAGCTTCGAAGTGGGAGGGACACCAAAGCCATGTACTGTAGGGGTTCTGAAATTTCGTGTGGTAATGACGTTTCGAAAAATATCTATCTTAAAACATGAATATTAGCCCACTACTCGTATGCCATGTTTCTGATGCAAGACGGATGGCAATACCGTCTGTTTAGATATAGGATTTGTAGACAATGGAGCAGGTAAATACAAATCTGTTAGCAACACTGCAGTCCTTCCTCTTTTTCTGCAGTCCATCAGGTCGCGGATGCAGCGAGTGTGCAAGTGCCACGGGATGTCCGGATCTTGCAGCGTAAGAGTGTGTTGGCGGAAACTGCCGCCATTTCGCCAGGTAGGGGACGCCTTGAGCGCGAGATACGAGGGCGCCTCTCACGTCAAGATGGTGGACAAAAAGAGACGGCGTATCAAGAAGCTGAGGGCGGTGAGTCGAGACTACAAGCAGCCCAACAAGACGGACCTGGTGTTCCTAGAGGAGTCGCCGGACTACTGTGAACGTAACGAAACGTGAGCACAGTTTTTCTTTTTTTGGACAGTAAGACAGGCCTATTGTTCCTCGAGGAGGCGCAGGACGAAACTGAAATACAGACCTACGCCATATCGAAAAATGTTTCTATTTTTAAATAAAAGAACTCGTAGCAGCAACGTTACCCGAAAAATAAATCGTCGATTTCCAATTTATTTCGCAGGAACAACGATACCATGTAAATCTGGTTACCGGTAAATGTAGGCCTACGTAGGTGTATTTATTTTATGATGGACTTGCTCCGTGACCACGTCATCGGCTTTCAATCCCACGCGTTTACAAAAGTTGTGCACAAATTTTTGAATACGACTGTCTA